CAAGCTCTTTCCCGATTACAGTTTAAGGGTTCCTTTTAACAGACTTTGATTGTATTCAACAGTGTCTCTGTTAGACGTGAGTTTGACGAGGGCATCAAGTCTGTCATGTTTACTGAGGCCTATGTAAGAGGGGATCCACATCAGCTTTATCTTAACACTCCCGTCAACAAGGCTCGCATATTTGTGTCTGGCTTCAGAGACAAGCGCGTGACAACTTAAGTTGATGGTGTCGAGGGCAAGTAGTGAGGATAAGGAGTCAGTGATGATGAGACTGTCTGTGGTAGTGACTTCAACACGTTTTATGGCTGTGAGTCTGGCAACCAATTCGGTTTGTACAGTCCTCTTCACTAGTGTGTTTACAGAGGCTCTTCAGGCTTTGTTCAGTGTAGCAGTGCTGTGTTTGTTTACATTAGACAGAAGGAACTAGCAATAGTAAACATACTATGGAATCAAATAAAACAATATTAAAACAAATCTTCCAAAGATAATGATTTGTGAAATGTTTATATGACGAGCCCATATAGTGAAGGGGACTGCACATTGGGTACCCAGTTATTAATACTAACTCCTTTCTATATTGTATTACCATTAGGTTGAGTCACAACGACAGCACTTCCAGCCCTCCTACAAGAAGTGTGAAGAGATCCATCAGTGTAGATGGTCTTTGTGATGTTATTATCAGTCTATAGAGTGTGTATGTGTTCAAGAGCTCTGACGTTGGCGGTGTTGGAGATAAATACCTTGTGTAATCATTCGTTTGGTGGGTTTGAGCGAGTGTTGTGATGTGGAAGGAACTGTGTGCCAGGGTGGCAGGAAACACTGTTTTGTCTCTGCTGTATACATTTGTCCAGTCTAGTTCAAACATCCTCATATGTGTAAGTGTAGTTTGGATCCATTTATATTCACTAGTTCCATGAATCGTAAATTCTAGCAGTTTTGTGGATCTGATGTTATCTGGACCACTACGCCACAAAGTCTCAGAGGCATCATGAGGTTGACTTCAATTATTCCATCTTTGACACTGGGTATCCCTAGGTCTTTCCCCATATTAACTATTGTACTAATGAAACCGCCTTGGATAATTCTATGGACTTTGTTTTGCATTTTATCCAAGTTTGTTAATGCCTTTCCCGTCACGAAGGTGTGTGGTAATCCATCAGACACCTTACATACTGTATCGCCGAGGTACATTGTGTTAACTAATCTGATAATAAAACCATAGTGTAGGTTATACATTGGTGGGTTAGCTTTTGTATGGGATAGGGGATAGAGACATCTAAGTATTTGAAAGAGAGAGGAGACATACTCAATGGTGTTATTACTCATCTTAAACTCCGGGTAGTTTGTTTGTTGACAGTTTTCACAGTGGAGATTATAAGCCGGAGGTTCTCATACGCTTCCTGTACTGTACATGGTTCACGGTAGTTGGTGTTTTACGATGAGTATTTTTGTATTTCTATGTGAGAATGTTATTTGCATAGATAATAGTAATATAACTGAGATTAACATAACCAGTGCAGTCATGAGTACATTGAACAGGTTGAACTTCAATTTGTAAGCATATGGTGGAGGGAGGGAGGGGTGTAGTGTGGGGTGGTGGAAGGAGGGAGGGGTGTAGTGTGGGGTGGAAGGAGGAGGGTGTAGTGTGGGGTGGTGGAGGGAGGGAGGGGTGTAGTGTGGGGTGGTGGAGGAGGGAGGGGTGTAGTGTGGGGTGGTGGAAGGAGGGAGGGGTGTAGTGTGGGGTGTGGAAGGAGGGGAGGGTGTAGTGTGGGGTGGTGGAGGGAGGAGGTGTAGTGTGGGGTGGTGGAGGAGGGAGGGGTGTGGTGTGGGGTGGTGGAAGGAGGAGGGTGTGGTGGGGTGGTGGAGGGGAGGAGGGGTGTGGTGGGGTGGTGGAAGGAGGGAGGGTGTGGTGAGGGTGGTGGAGGGGAGGGGTGTAGTGTGGGGTGGTGGAGGAGGGAGGGGTGTGATGAGAGGTTGGAAGGAGGAGGGGGGTGTGGTGTGGGGTGGTGGAAGGAGGGAGGGTGTAGTGTGGGGTGGTGGAAGGAGGGGGTGTGGTGTGTGGTGGAAGGAGGAGGGTGTAGTGAGGGTGGTGGAAGGAGGGAGGGTGTGGTGTGGGGTGGTGGAAGGAGGGAGGGTGTGGTGAGGGTGGTGGAAGGAGGTATGAGAGGAGGAGGGAGAGCGTGTGATAAGGGTAATACAATTTGACGTTTACTTCCCATATCACCCTTACCTTACTTCATTTTTTCACCAGTAATTATTAGGTCTTTTTCGACAGTGTTGTTTAAGGTACTTGTGGTCTTAACTCCAGTTTGTTTATTATTGTTTACAGCTTACTGGTCATAATGCTAGGAGCGTCACGGTAAAGCTTGTATTACTGTCCTACAAGTTACGGTGATAGATTACACAACAATAGTTTTGAGAAAGTTAAATACAATCTTGTCCTGGTACCTTAACGATGTGTGTGTGTGTGTGTGTGTGTGTGTGTGTGTGTGTGTGTGTGTGTGTGTGTGTGTGTGTGTGTTAATAAAAAGCGTAGAGGGTGAAGGTGTCAGTGAAGGAGTGTAAACTAAGGGCAGCGACACTCGTGTGTGTGGGGCCACGTGTGTCATCTCCCAACACACACACACACACACACACACGCGCGTTTAGTATTCTATTTCTCGACATTTACCTTATGTTTTTAATTGTTTTCATATATTTTCGACTCGCCGGGTACAGTAGTGTGCTGGTCGTGTTGTTGGGTAGTTAACACGGACACTTGTGAAAAAATACGGAAATTTTGTGGTTTCTCGAGGCTCGTCTTTTCGAGATGAGCAGCAGCCAATGGGAGCGTGGCAAAGGATGGCAGTGTCACCCTCCTCCAATAAGATGCCGGCGTTAAGTGCCCACCGTTGAGTTCCTTGCTCCTACTGCCAAGCGTTTTCGGCTCATCAATAATAATGTTATTTTGTCTTTGTTATTATATTTTATATTTATTATTTTTGATAGATAATGTCAAATATATTATCATTGTGATCAAAAGTAACGCTTAGCTTACCTCAATTGTTGCTATATGACAAATTATTAATTGGGTAGGAGGGATGGTTGGTAGGGAGGGGCGCGGGACTCTGGTGGTGGCCGGGGTGGTGATAATAGCCTACACCCCCGCACTGATCATAAGCAAACTTGACCTGGTGCCAGGCACAAGTGCCCGCCTCCTACCTCCTGTGCTCCACGCGGTGCCTCCTCCGCCACCACCACCACCATCAGGGCCAGCCAAGACAACCCCATGTGGACAGTTGGCGAGGATTAGTTCAACAGTGTTTAATACATCCGCCGAGGAAGTGATTATCTGAAACTCACAACCTTGACCCCCATTGACCTGAGATACGGACTATAGTGTGAAGAAGCTGACGAGAGATAACAGCACATGAGGAGCAGCCCAGCCACTACCACGCTAAAATAGGTCGTGACCCACAGGTGCGTGACGTCACTCGAGGTTATGACCCCTCAGGTGTTCTCCCCCAACCACCACCCCTTCAACACACCTACTTTATCTCACTCTTAAAATACCTCTTCCTCTTCCCCATATATCTAATGTTATCTTTTTGATTTAGCTGAAGGATGAAGTGTGTATTAAAATATTCCTCGGTTATAAATATGGCGACGTATATCACGGTCAGAGTTACCAGCCATCTTGCCGCGTGTAGTGGAACAGAACACACCCGCGGGCACACTACTCATACAATGGTAGAGGTGGTCTAGATATACAGTGAACATACCAGTATACACATAAATATATACATTGAGGTAAATTAACACTATCCCAGGTAATGGTACAGGGTGATGTGTATATACGGGTATAATATTACTGTATTATCAATCTTAATAATTAATTTACACGTCATTGATGAGAGTTATCACAATTGTTCTATGTATTTAACAATTATATCATTTATTTTTATTTTATACACAACTTTCTGAATGATTGTGTCGTCATATGTCACGTGTTACATGTTTGCATGTTTCTCTATGTTCAATTTTATAGTTGTTAGGTGGTTTATGTATGTATGTACTGTATGTATGTACGTATGTATGTATGTATGTATGTATGTAATGTGTATGTATGTAATGTGTATGTATGTATATAATGTATGTGTATGTATGTAATGTGCATGTGTGTTGTCACTTTGCTCAGGAACAATCTACCTATACACGATCAGTGTGTGTGTGTGTGTGTGTGTATAACTCACCCAGCCGCCCCCCCCCCCATCTTAACGTTGTTGGCCAAGTATTGTTGACCTGTTTCGAGTGCCATGTGTAATGTAGGTGCCTCCTCTCTTGATGGTACTGCCGTTGTGATAGTGCTGATAGTGGTTGTATTAATTGTTGTAGTTGTTGTTTAATAATGACTTTGATTACAGTATTGTGTTGTTAATGACAAGATGATTATTATAACTTAAACCATCGAGCTTCCAAGAGTTATAACTTGAACCGTCGCCCTCAACATGGTGTAACTTGACCCATCGTCCTCAAAGGGACTATAAAAGCGAAAAACTGTAATGTTCTCCCCCGTCACACAGCAGTGCCGGCGGGGGGGGGGGGTGTACAGTGTTGATTGGGTCCTCCTCGTGTCTGTTTGTCAGGGTTGATTTGGTTACACTGGGTGAAATTAACATTGATGTCAGAGTTTAGGGTTATATTGAGTGAATGTGATGAGCGATTTCTCTCTCTCTCTCTCTCTGTTCAACCTTGTGTTTCTGTGCCCTCTTCTTGTTAAAAAGGAGAAATTAAGCCTGATTTGTTCTTGATCTGGCAACTAGTAGCTGTGAATTCAGTTGGGGTTTTATTGGTCCATCGTCGACTGTGACGTATATTGTGTTTACCTTATTTCTGTTAACATTATTCCATCAACAGTGACTTTATGGTGAAACAGGAACACTCAGGGCTGAGTCAACCGTTACCTTCACTACAAAGATCAGATCAGGTCATTGTTTATTAATCCCATGTTTTTATTTCAGGTAATCGCAGGATGCACCTAGAAGACTACACCAGCAGCCACGCGGGGTCACCGGAACCCCTCATACCCTCCGAGCTGACCTCATGTGACCTAGGCGGCCTCATCAGTCCTCTGGGGGACAACTCCCACGCGGGCTCACCCTTGGGTCCCCCAACAGCCTTCTCACCGCCCACCATCAGCGTGGAGGCGCCCCAGGAATCAGGCAGTGGCCCCACTTCCCAACTGGCCACGGCCATGACCGCCCTCGGGGAGCTACATGGTGATCTCTACCTAGCTGGTGACGAGTGGCCGCCGTCTTTAGAAAACCTCTTGACGGCTCTGCCGGGAGGCTCCTCGCTGCCGGAGTTGGTAGTGACCGATCCACGCCCTCCAGATACGCCCATTTTCACCAGCCCCATGCCTCCCGCACCTCCCTCCACAGATCTCCTCGACTTGCCGTCGAGCGAGGGACTGGAGCTGTACCTGGGAGGCAGCAGGTGTTCAGCCTCGCCCATGAGCGTCTCACCTGGTGGGTCGTCTCTACCCTCACCATTCACCTCCAACCGCGGCTCCTTCAGCTCCACTCGACGGAACAAGCGCCCATATTCCACCTCGCCCATGAACGTGGACGGAGTGGACCTCAACACCATAATCAGGTCATCGCCCACGTGTCTAAGCGGAGGGTCGCCCACAGCCACAGTACCACAGCTCTCCTGCTCCCCGTCAGGTGGCAGCTATGGCCACCTCATCCCTCGTCCTGAAGCCAACAACAACCAGCCACCTCGCGCCAACCTCTCCTTCCAGACCCTTATAAGTGACGACGATGTCACCAAGAACAACAACAACAATACCCAGGTGAACAACCTCCACTACTACAAGGTTGAGCCCAAGTGTGAGCCTGAAGAGCAGCAAGGTTCACCTCCCTACCACGACCACCATCACCACCACGACACCGAAGACGGACGACCGGGCAGCCCCTCAGAGGATGACGGTCCCCGCTACTGCCGCTGGGTAGACTGTAACGTTCTCTTCGCGTCCCGCGAGACTCTCTCCCGACACATCGAAAAGGCTCACATCGACCAGAGGAAGGGCGATGACTTTACGTGTTTTTGGGCGGCGTGTCAGCGGCGGTACCGACCCTTCAACGCTCGCTACAAGCTGCTGATACACATGAGGGTCCACTCCGGGGAGAAGCCCAACAAGTGTACCGTGAGTACCTCGGTGTTTTGTTGTTGACACACACACACACACACACACACACACACACACACACACACACACACACACACACTATTTCTCTCCATGTACCAAATAAATTAGCTCAGCTCTCAGGTCCTCTCAGCAAGGATAAAGGTGGTGCCGTGTGGCCAGGGTCGTGACAACCATCCCCTTCTTAATGACGCGTTGCTTCATAAAACCTATTAAATGCGATAGTGTTGCTGCCCACCACAAAGACCACCCACTAACCCACCCCGTCCGTCTTCCTCCTTAGTAGCACCACCCACCGCTCTAGTAACAGTCCCACCCACCTCACTACGAGCGCCACCCATTACTTATCAGGGACTCCTCATCGCCTAAGCCACCCACCACCCCTAACTATCCACCGCCCTGTAGTGCCACTCGCCCACCCTCTCACTTTTCAGCCTCTCACTCATTCCCTGGCCTCTCACTTACTCCCTGGCCTCTCATTTACTCCCTGGCCTCTCATTCACTCCCTGGCCTCGCCTTTACTTTCCAGGGAGAGGCAAGGCGTGAGAGAGGAGGTTATGGAATGGGGGAAAGGGTTATCAAACGAGGGAGGGAGACGACACGTGAGGTTAAAGTTTATGGGGTACTGTTGGTTAGCATTTAGGATGATTAATATTAAGGTGAAATAAGCTATTCTTCAGGTGATCCGTTGAAGGTAAGTTGCCTCGTTATCGCTGTAGTTAAGTGTATGATTTAAGTTTATTGTATGTATGGTCACTGCGGCAGGTCCTCGACCGTGTAGTTTAGATGTGACTTTCTGGACTTCTTTAGTAGTTGAATGTTGGTGTGTCTCTTCTGACTATTATTGTAACTGTTAATGGTAATACCTGTAGTAGTAGTAGTAATAGTATAATGGTGGTTGTAATAGCCTATTAGTAGTCGTATTAATAATTTAATTGCTTGTTTTTGCCTCCTTTTATTATTATTGTTATTATTATTATTATTACTATTATTATTATTACTTTTTTGTCCACACGAATAAGCGTGACACAAGCAGCGGCAGACGGTCATAAGGAAGGGTGAGGGGGGGGGGTATACTGGGCTCACTGTGACAAATTCTTGAGCTCGGTGTAACATGATGGATAAGGCGAGGCTTCTCATGTTGGCCTCCTACACTACACTACTTTACGTCTCCTCCTTCACTACACTACTTTACGTCTCCTCCTTCACTACACTACTTTACGTCTCCTCCTTCACTACACTACTTTACGTCTTAAAGTAATTCCCACCACTAGGAGACAGGGCGGCCTACCATCCATGTTATCTAATTATAATGTTAATGTACTGGTCTATAGAAGATCTTGACGTTAGCATTATGGGATTTTCTTTAACGTAGTTTGAGGCAGGAACCATTGCTTTAAGATAGTGTTTATAAACATATGTCTTTTCTGTTTTATATCTTAAGATTAAAATATTCAGTGGTCTTGATTCAGTCGGTTACTGACGCGGTTAACAATCCTTACCATCTACCAATAAAACAAAATATCATTCCAGACAAAATTATCAACTAGACTGGTAACAGTAATAAACTAGATTAGTTATCTTTCAGCTACACAAGTTTTCCCAGAGTAGACGACAGAGTTAGTATACTGTACTGTACATCTCCCGCCACGACGCGTAGGTTGTATCTCCAATCCTCCTCTACAGGGAAATGAGATATGCCATGTACTCTTGTATCTTCAGAACATAATAGTTGGTTACACTACACATTTCAGATAGGATCGCCAGACATAACAGATATACAAAATCAGAACAGATTTGGTTAGGATGAGGAATGAGGTGGTGTGGCGCCTCACCTCTCACAAGCATAGTTTAAGCCTTTCACTTCCCCTTGCCACACACACAAACATACATAGATAGATAGATAGTCTTTTATAGTATTTGATCGTCCATGTTTTCAATATAATTCCAGGAAACTTTTTTTTATAGAACTAATGATGTCAGAAGTAAAGTTATTTCAAGGTTATTTGTTCATATACGGATTATATTAACACACCTTCCCCTAGTGCCCCTCCACACACCAGTCCCCTAGTGCCCCTCCACACACCAGTCCCCTAGTGCCCCTCCACACACCAGTCCCCTAGTGCCCCTCCACACACCAGTCCCCTAGTGCCCCTCCACACACCAGTCCCCTAGTGCCCTCCCCTAGTGCCCTCCACACACCAGTCCCCTAGTGCCCTCCACACACCAGTCCCCTAGTGCCTCCACACACACCAGTCCCCTAGTGCCCCTCCACACACCAGTCCCCTAGTGCCCCTCCACACACCAGTCCCCTAGTGCCTCCACACACCAGTCCCCTAGTGCCCCTCCACACACCAGTCCCCTAGTGCCCTCCACACACCAGTCCCCTAGTGCCCTCCACACACCAGTCCCCCTAGTGCCCCTCCACACACCAGTCCCCTAGTGCCCTCCACACCAGTCCCCTAGTGCCCTCCACACACCAGTCCCCCTACACACCAGTCCCCTAGTGCCCCTCCACACACCAGTCCCCTAGTGCCCTCCACACACCAGTCCCCTAGTGCCCTCCACACACCAGTCCCCTAGTGCCCCCTCCACACCAGTCCCCTAGTCCTCCACACACCCAGTGCCCCTCCACACACCAGTCCCCTAATGCCCCTCCACATCCTTCCCCTAGTGCTCCTCCACACATTCCTTCCTAGTCCTCCACACACCCTCCCCTAGTGCCCCTCACACACACACCCCTCCCCAGTGCCCTCCACACACACACACCCTCCCCTAGTGCCCTCCACACACACACCCCTCCCCTAGTGCCCCTCCACACACACCCTCCCCTAGTGCCCTCCACACACACACACCCCTCCCCTAGTGCCCCTCCACACACACACCCTCCCCTAGTGCCCCTCCACACACACACCCCTCCCCTAGTGTCCCTCCACACCATCATCGGGTCATGTCGTTTATGACTTCGTAAATGACTTGGTAAACAGAGCCATGAAGAACCGTATGTTTTTTTATGTATGAGTGTCATAGTAGGAAGGTTGTTGTCTGTTTAATACATCTACAGTACAGTACTGTTATTTATAAAGTACATCTGTAGGGCTTATCTGTTTAATACATACGTAAGGATACCATCCATTAAATACCTGTATAATATAATCCCAATTCCCATTTAAAATAAAATAAAATATCGACTTTACGAAACTAATTTTACAAGTAAGTGACCTTTTCCACATTTTGAAGCAACACAAACTGTTTAATACATTCACGCCAAGACCAACAACGAGGAAATGACAGAGTAGAGGAGGAGGAGGAGGTGGGGGCTGGTGGTTGGTTTACTCAAGGTGGGTGAGTGGGTGGTGATGAGTCAAGGGGGGGGGGGGTATGTGTGTGAGTGATGGTGAGTGCTGGAGGGGGACGCCCACGCCTGCCTCCAGAGGGGGTCGCACCGTGAGAACCTCTGGTCTGGTGGCGCCAAGCTAACCCCTCATCCTCTCTACCCTCACTACCTAGACTAATTTTATGGGGCAGATTGTGTGTGTGTGTGTGTGAGTGAGGGGATGCCTGCGTATATGTGTGTGCGTTTCTAGAAACAGGAGTTGTAGTTCTTACGTGTATAACCGGAAAGATTTGGCAACGGCATCATATATATAATTATCCGTTACCATTAAAAGAATCAGATCTGTCTGTGGGGATGAAAACATCAGACACATGTGATAAGGTGATATATCCAGGATCTATTTTACTGAGAAAGAATTAAGAGAACATAAAGAGTGTTGGTTCCACCTATAGCCTGGTCATTAGGATTTAGGGTCTAATCTTAATGGCCCCCCCCCCCTCCCCTAGTGGCTGGGCCTAGTCGTAAGGGACCCAATCCTAATGGGCACCAGTCTCGATGGATGTAGCTCTAAAAGGATTCTGACTTATTAACATTGGGACTAATCAAAATTCAGGTCTACTATGATTGGGGCCTATTAGATTAGCATCTGTGATGCAGTGCTGTATGTGCAGCAGAGAGCTCAATGTCGTCCCGTGGTGTATGTGTGTTGGGAGCAGGGTGAAACTATGGGCAAGTTTCTTTATACCATTTGCCTCTGCCTACCCAGCAGTAATTCGGAACCAGGATTTTAATCGATTTACGGATCGTGTCCTGGGTCAATGGTTAGCCAGTACAGTTGGCGAGTTGTCCGGTCTATTTGGATTATTCCTTGACACCGGGCAATACAGTTCATTAACTTAGGGTGTGGTTGTTGTGTTGGCGACAGCTTCCACACTTTAAATAAATTATCACCTAGGTGGCCCTAGGGGACGTTTGTGGTTGTGTGTGTTTATATCATGTGTGTGTGTGTGTGTTTGAACCGTGTATGTGTGTGTTTATATACCATGTATATGTGTGTATGTATATCATGTATGTGTGTGTAGTGAGGCAGGGCAGGGTAAGTGTACACTGTGGCTGGCGTCGCCTGCAGCCTCACTAGACAAAAACAAACCCCAGTCGTCATTGCTCAGTTCCGCGTGGCCTCCACCCCTTCCCTCACTCACCTCCCACGCTATCATCATTAGCCATTAAGTATAGGACACCAGTTTTGAAGATATCTGGGCTAAGTTAGTATGAATATTTCTTAGTGGTGTAGAGGGGTGTGTTGAGCGGTGCGCGCGCGGGCACGTTGAGGACAAAAACATGTTGAAGGGATCATGTGTCGCCACTAACCCCCTTGGGACACAGCTCTTCACTCCTCCCCGCCTGTGTCACCACACACCTAACGATTTGTACTGTCTGTCTCCTTCACTACTGTCATAAACCAGACAGGTGAGTCGAGCGGCCCAACGCTATGAATGGTGGTGCTCCTTCCCCACGTAAACACGCCACACCACGTTGTCAACACATGCTTCCTTAAGTCGCCTAGTCTTCTCTCGGTGTTTCCGCGGCTTGAACAGTCAACTTTACTAGTTGTTCCCATCAGTAGCTCGCCCGTACAACGAAGTGTACAAGAGTAAGCCAC